CCTTTCTGAAAAGTAATACTTCCTCATGTCCAGCTTGAATCTCCCCTGCCGTAGCTTGAAAACCATTCCCCCTGATCCTATCACTAATGACACGAGAGTTGCACAGTGTTGTGCAATGTGCTCTGGGTGGCCCTGCTCGAAGAGGGGGTAGGACAAGATTACCTCCAGAGATCCCTTCCGCTCAGTCTCTTTATGTGTCTGAATATGATGAGAGAAAAAATGTGTCAAGGATTCAAAAAGCTCACAAGTAAAACTACAACACTGAAAGTCACACCACAACATATGCTGCAGAACTATAGGTTCTCTAAGAAGGTTTTCACCTATGTGCTCTTTGTCTGCACTGTTTTTATATCCATTCACTAAACATAATTTAAACTTACCTTTTTGAATAAGAATCAAGACTTTCATTCATAATGGATTATGAGAAATCTTAATAGTGGAATTAAAATCAATTTGTATGTTGCACAAGGTTCTAAAATCAGAGTGCTACGTATGTTCTTTTTGTTTCTGATGGTCATGTAACTTTTTATTTTACTTCCAGAAGTCTTGTCTATTATCCACTGGCAACTACCTATTTATTAAATTGTGATGAACATAATCTGAATAGCAAATCTGAATAGTTTTGTAACACAGATGACCTTACTGAACTAGATCTATTAGCAACCAAGGCAAACTTTTCTGAAAGTCAATGCTGAATTTAAGCAGCTACAGCAGATATCCACAGGCCATAGCAGAAAACCAGTGAGTAAATGACACTCAAATTGTTGCTGTGATATTTACAATATAGTCCAAGAAAGAAAACTTAAATTTTTAGTCCTTCCAAAATGGAAAATAATCTTCTAGTTTTCTAGAGAGATGTTAAGGTGTATTTTTTCTTTGTTCCTTTCTGTTTTTAATAAAAGGCCTCGGGCTGATTGGGGCTGCCAAATACAGCAGCTCATGGGAGGGAAGGTTGCTGTGTGGGGAGCCAAAAGTAGGCTCAGACATAGGTGAGGCCATGCACATAACACATTCATGCACATGCATGCAATAAATGTGCAGCATATGTGGATCTACATGGACAGAAACTCAGCATTCATGTGACCACAAACTCCATCAGTGATCCTTATTTCATTCCACTCAGTTGGTGAGCAGGATGAAGGTGCAACAGTGGGCAAAATATACAACTGAACAGTTTTGATCCCTTCAGTGAGCAGCGTGGGATACGTTGATCCCATAACTGGCATTTTTCATGGCCTGGTTCTTCCAGTTACCTCACACACCCATGCACATGTGACACAGGTCCCCTGCTTCAGACTCAAAAACTCCCAGCACCTCATGCACTTAAGCACATGCACATATGCAGACTGATCTCTTGGCCTCCTGGCTGACCTGCATGCTTGCGGCTGCCTCCCTACACAAAGCTCCCAGGGCACCGACTGTACTTGCTGGCTCCTCCAGCTTGGTCCCCATTAGTGATGGTACACTGACATTGTGATATAACATGCATGTGTTCTGCTCTTTCCAGCTTGCTGCCACCACAGGCTCAGGGACTTCAGCTGTTGGTGCTTAGGCCTCTATAAAAAACATGCACACAGAGCAACACTTAAAAATAGCATTTAATGAGGCCGGAATGGAAAGCAGTGACCAGGCACAGGGCATGGGCAAACAGAACAACCAGCCACCTGCTTTCATGTCCTGATTGGGCAGACAAAATGAGCCACTGGGAATCACTGAATCCTACACAGCCTTTGGAAATTTCATGCAGCACTATGAACGTTCTCGATCGTGCTGATTAGTCACAACCAGCAGTTTTTGTTTTTTAAACATTAAATGCTCAGTAAAAGAAAGTGATCAGTCAGAGTAAACATTATTTTGGGCTGTAGACCAAATAAAAGTTTTATATTAACTGAATGCCTAACTATTTTCCCTTTTTTATTTCAACTTTTTTAATATATCAAAGCTTTCTATGATACTCATGAAAAATTATCACAGATACAAACCTAGTATTTTAACACATTCTTGGAGAATCTAGAAAAACGAAAATAAATTAATTGCTCAGAGTTCTACACATAAGTGTGAGGCTACTGTCTGGTTTTATGCTACACGCAGTTTCTAGACTGTAAAAACTAGATGAAAAGCATAGCAACTGGATGACTCAGATTGCTGACCTGGTGTAAAACAACTGTATGGTTAAAAACATCTGAGGAATTTTTATGAGCGTAACTTTCTGTCAGTAAAGTTCATGCTGAATTATATAAAGGTAGATCAGCAGTTTTGCTTCAAGAGCCTTTAACCTCTTCTCCAGATTCTTCTGTTTCTTCACTTTGAGATTATTACACCAGGATGTCCTCAGCTCTCTTTCATTAAAAACATGGTGTCTGTACTTTCACTGAACCTTTCAACCGCCACCACCAGCTACCAGACAATCAGAGATTCTGTCCATTTGTTTTAGTACTGGGCAACAGCACTGTCCGACAGGCTATTTCTGAGCATCCCACAGCACCTATTTTAACATGCTCTACCATTCAACAAGTATATTGCCAAATGCATCACACTACTCTGCTTTGAGAAAATTTTGCAAAATGAATATAGGCATGTTAGTTAATATTTAGTTAATATCCATCTACTGTAACATGAATATCAGCCTGTGGAAAAAAACCAGAATGATACAGTATACAAGATACTGCGTAGAGTTTGAACTACAAGTAAGTGTAGCCACAGATTCCTGAATATTCAAAATGTTCCCTAAATAAATATACAATACCATAGTATTATGAATAGCCCATAATAGCAAATCTCTCTCAAAACATATACAGATTAAAAATCATTTATATTTAGCTACTGTAGCCCATCAGTAAATCAAAGTATTCATCTCAATATTCAATTTATTTAATCACTACCTGTATCCACAAGAAGAGACTTGACTGGGAATCACTTGTATCCTTCCTAGCATTAGCTTCATAAACAAGCACACTGCAAGTCTTACTACTTCTTTCACATAAAAAGGCTTTTTTTCTGTGTGTGTGTGTGTGTGTGTGTGTGTGTGTGTAGTATCTGTCATGGATGATTTCTGAACAAATTGGTTACAAGGACAGCAGAAAAGCAAGTGGGAAAAAAAAACCTCAATAAAACCATAATTCCAACAGTACAGGTTTTCATAGCAGGCTCTAGCAAACACAGGTACCTTCACAATATTTATTAGCAACAAAACGTACTGCAAATCTTGGACACAAACTAGGAAAATGAATGATTCATCATTTGTTTATAACGTGCGCAAAATAAAACTGGGTTTTCTTGTGAGACTTAGAAGCCATGTAGCTAGAAGTAAAATGTCATTTCTAAATTACTGATTATTTCTAATGCAAAACAGCTATTCTAGATCTCATCATAATGGCAAAATATAAATTAACTAATGGATTGCTCAGCAGTCACTAATTATGACTCCATTTTTTCCTGTGTATGCAAACAACTTCATATATTCTTTTAATGAGGCTGCATTTTCTTAAACTGAGAGAATCAACCTGTACATTTCAGAGAGAAAAATCACATAGAACGTAAATACGATCTGGATGCTGTTTTATATAATGTTTATTTAGAATTCTTTTACAACTGAGAACAAGAAATGAGAATGTTCTGAGGATGTTAGGAAATTAGAAAATGATTCAACGGTGAAATTAAAAGATCAATTAAGTGGGAAAGAAAAGTATTCAGCAAAAAATCAAGGCAGAGAAATCATGCAGCATAAAAAACTGAAGAAAAAATATAGCAGCAGACCTGGCAAGTGAGTAGTAGTTTCAGCACAGAGCAAACCACAGGCACATCAGTTGTAGATATAAGCACAGAGATAAAATGCATATTAACAGCAGGACAGTTCAACATAGGTCTCTGTCCCATTTCCTAGTGTAAGTAGGAGGCTATTAATGAAATTCTCTCTAACTCATTATTGACCTGGTTTCATCTGAGACAGAGTTGTTTATTCTTTCATAGTGTTTGGTACGATGCTATGCCTTGGCTTTAGGAGGAAAACAATGTTGACAGTACAGAGATGTTCTACTTGTTGCTAAGTGGTGCTGTGAGGAACCAATGACATTCAAATTTTTCAGCTTCTCCTATTGTCCTGCCAGTGAGAGGGGCTGTGGGGGAGCACAAGGTGCTGGGAAGCAACAGAACCAGGACAGCTGAGTTAAACGGGTCAGAGGGATATTCCATACCATATGACATCACGCAAAAAAAGCCTTGAAAAACGATGGGGAGTTGGCTGAGTGGACAGCCCCTGCTTGGGGATTAGCTGGGTTAAACCACAATTACCTACTAAAGAAAAGGTTTAGCAATGTTTACTCAGAATTAAATTTATAATATACTAGGCTGGAACAGCTTGTACCTATGATCTCTGGACATGGATAAGATGTGAAACTCCACACTGTTAATCTTTAATTGGTGTTAGAGCACTGACAAAAATAGGCAAGGATGGGAGTAGCTACAATACAGCTGTATATATTGACCAACAATAATATATTTACTCATATTCAAGTTTGCTGCTATTGTCCAAAATGGAAAATAAAATTGGGTAAAAAAAGAATAAATACATATTGTCCCATCTGAAAGTCTATGTAATCAGTATGGCATCTGTTAGTTATGACACAAACAGACTCTTTTCAAACAGGAAAACACAAAGGTTTCTTCCAACACACACCAATCTGTGATCAAGAACAGTAAAATAGTCATTATTTTCAAAGAGCTGTGGCATAGGAGTCATCAGGAAACAATCTGAAATTGTCTACAATGATTTATGGAGAGAGAACAAAGATGAAAAATAAAATTAAAATCTGTTATACCAGACTGGGATTATAGACTAATTTGCATGTTTTCCATTACTATTTGAAAATGTCACAAATTCTGTTGCAACATACGTACATAAACGTGTTCATATGCACACACACAGTACTTATAACCTAGCTAAAACCTTTGAATTTCTTAGATCAGTTATTCAGACAAACAAAATACTGAATTGCACTCACCCCAGGATACGGTTCATTCCATGCCTAGCAGCATAATGGAGTGGAGTATTGTGCTGGTAAGTTTCTCCATACGAAGTATTTGGGTCAAGAGTTTCTTTTAGTTGAGGGTTACTCTCATATATTTGGCAGGCCAGATTTTCATCTCCATTTATAAGAGCTTTGCGGAATTTGGTGGTTGTATTTCCCATGTTGCTATTCTAGCTATCAATGGCACTTTTTCCTTTCCCCTTCATCCACTTGTCATGAGGTTCTGTAACATGCTTCACAGCCTAAAAAGACAAACAGTATGTTAGTTATTTTGTAAAGCACTCTTTCCCAGATGAATTAACCCAGAGCTGCAGCACTGTAAGCGTGCACGTGAAGAGTACTTAGGGCCTAAAACCTCTGCTCACAAATTCCTGAAGTCCTTATAGGTAGGATACACACAAATTCCCAATTATTCACAGATTATTTCCCTATCGAGTATTTTCATTACAGATACTCTTGAAACATAAAGAGGGCCAAGATACATCTATATTAACAGACATGAATGAAAAGTGAATTTCCACCGCTTGAGAAGCAAATAAGAAATTAGAACTGATTTCAAAACATAGTACAACCAAAGACAAGCCCTTCAATAGAGGTAAAATTCTTCAAAAGTACGCAAGAAACCAGACCTCAGTTTAACTGTTACTTAAAGAGCACCAAGTAAAATACGCTTGAAGTACTTATGCACATGTAGGTGGGTTTTTTTGTGCCAGCCAGGTCATGCACACAAACATAGGAATCACTACAGCCCCATCCTAGCAGTTCTGCTAAGGAGATGCTTTAGAACACCAAGCTCATTTTTAAAACAACAGCTGCAGAACAACAGTGACTGGGTCCTCACGGTGCCAGGCAGCACTGCCAGTTGTTGTGCTCTACAGTCTCTTGTCTTTACCTGATGTGAGGGACCAGCAGACTGAGTTACATGAAGACTGGGCAAGCACAGCATCTCAACTCATGAGATAGGACAGGAGAAGCTTATAGGGCCGTCTAAATGAGCATGCTGTGTTTTGTGTCAGAGGGACAGAAAGGGGACTCAGCACCAGGCGGCAGCTGGTAGCACAGTGAACCTTCGGGAGGTCTGTTGTGCACGAGTCACCACACGCAGACCACTGCATGCCAGATCCTTCCCCCACAGCATACACTCTGAGATGCAAATATGCCAGGCACAGCATGATACCACACTGGAATTGATTGTGTTGGGAGCATACAGTCAGACAGGACAGGAGCTTCTATGTACCCACTACCTTATATTCTACTCAACAAGTATAATGACTACTTGGCAAATAAAAGGACTACCTCAACCTTCTGCATTTGCTTGTCTGCAGTTACTGGTGCCCAGGGCAGCTCTAAACAGAAAAAAATCAGATGAATGTAAGGGGTCTAAAGCTGCAGAAAGCCTCAGGGAGTCATGATGTGTATGCAATCCACGTGAGAAGGATTTGGGAAACTCTAAGGGCAAGTTGCAATGCTATACTTTTGTTCCCACAGAGTTGTCCTTGTATGAGCTGCTTTTTGCTACTACTGTGAACTTGCACATCACATTAACAGCAAAAGTATCAAAGAGCAGGACAAGCACACTTGCACACCTTTATTTGCATCTCTGTATGGCTGCAGTTTGCTCAGATTCTGTTCTACATAAGTGCAACTTTCTGCAGTTCTGCACTGTCCTCTCTCTTCAGTTCTTCAGACGGGTCACTTGGGGAAGGCAAGGGAAAACACCCACACATCACCTGGGTATATGGCAGTCTGGGCCATCCTACAAGGGATACAATGGCTATGGTGGCCTCTATTTTAATCCCCTTTTCCTTCAAAATTCCAGTGAAGCAATCTCCATTTTGGAGTAGTTGTGTCCTGCTGCTTGATGGCACCACGGGTCTGCTACAGCAGCTGACCCAGCATGCTGGGCATGGTGCCCTGTGTTCTCCCCTCAGGTCAGGGGCAAGCCCCTGTGAAGCAGCTGGATGTTCACACTACAAGGGATGAACAGGCATTCTGAAAGCAGAAGCACGCCTGTTGTACAGGCAAACCAAAGCCCAACATGAATACTGCAGCATTTGCTATCTTTCTGTTGTCCCTATTTTATAACATAAGCATGCAGATACTATATTCATGTTCTTCAAGAAAGCCCCTGTATGTTCATATTACCATGTCACAGCTTCTGGTGCTTTAAATTAGCCTGCTTCCAGGTACATAAGCAGCTATGCTACTGTAAATATTAAACAGCTTTAGGCTTTAATAAAATACTGTAAGAATCATGGAAAAACTTTCTATTCTCAATAAACCAGCAGTTCATATTACCCTCTACATAAAAACAAAAAGCCCAAAGCTTTCAAGAGCTGGGATCTTAAGAATAACTTGAGAGAATGACTTTCAGTCACATTCGTTAATGAGGAAAGCTTATGATGTTATAGTATCTGCTAATCCCTATTGACTACCAACAGCTCCTGAGACTACAAGCCAGACAAGAAAAAAATGCCCAAAGTACATCCTTTTCCTCAAATCTTCATGCAAATCAGTAACGCAGATCCCACTGGTGCCCTCAAAGAGCGAAACTGCACAAAAAACTTCTTGCATGATTCAGAATTAGGAGGTATCAGCATCAATTGCCGTGTACTCATTTCTGGAACTTAGCACATGGGTAGCTTCTGTCAGCTGCAGAGCATGCTGCCTCTTGCCCCACCTGGCACATTAAACAAACCTGCCTATGGGCAAGGGAGGCTGCTAAGAGTCATATGGGAGATTACGGGGCCCTGAGGGAATCTAAGAGGCTGGAGCACAGTGAGAATGCTGAGATCCTGAAGCAGAAATCTGTATGTACTTGGGGAGGGGGTTGGGAATGCATGGAAGAACTGACAGCCTGAGTGGGGTGGCTGCAGTACAGAAATGGCAAAAATTTAAATTTCGTTAGTTTACTGCACGCTGAGCAGCCTGTTTATTTTTTGATGTAGTACGAATATAGTACATGGTAGAACAATCTTCAAAAATGAATAATATAAAAGAAGTAAGCACACTGCTCAAAGTATTATGCACATTACCATAACATCTGGCAAATTCAGGAATATGCAGCAAGTACTGTGAAACTGACATCTGCTTCCCTAAAAAATATCCTAAAGCCTACGTACACACTCAAGGGCTATATATGATACAGACATGATACAGAAAGATGAACAAAGAAATACAATTGCATACTACTCTACATATAAGGACCACTCTCTAAATCTCAAGATTTTCAGAGTCAAAGGAAAGCAAGAATTTTAAGGATTAAAAAACAGAGCAATGATGTGGCTTTGAACAGAGAAGAGGAACTTTTCCCAAAATCAAGAATCAGCAAGAGGTATTGAAAATTTAGCAAATGGCTAATGCAACTATAATCATCATAGAAAATTAAATATGATGGAATGGGGACAGTGCATGAAAGCACTTCAGGTGAAGGCAAACAGCTTATATTTGATGTGATAGCAAGAAACCAATCTCTGGGAGAACACAAGGAGAGAAGTGACAGGGTCAAAACTAATCCAGAAAACAACTCCCTGTTTAAAATATAGGATACTATAAATTGTGCTAATGTCTTCCAGCCTCATTCAATATCCAAAAGGACATTCATCTTTCTCACTCAGCCTCTTATGCTTCACAAAATTTGGTGGGCCACAGCATGATTTTCTTTTCTGCATCAGACATTAAATGTGTCAGTACAAATACCCTGTGGGTACAGAGGGGCAAAGCTGCCTTTGTACACTGCCAGTAAGAGATGCCTCCCAGCACCTCGGGAAGTCAGAAGAAACCAACACCCAACAGCTGTTGCCTCTCTCAAGCTGCCCAGTGCTTGCTCTATATTCCAGGTCTGCCCGCCTGTGGTTGCCAGCTCAGCTCCCAGCAAACAGACCAACCACTTCAGAGTTCAAAGGAGGTCTTGCTTCAGCTGAAGGAGAAAAAGGACAAAACATGAGCTGATACAGCAAACTTCTGCATCTGAAAATGGCTGAAAGGGGCCTGGGCTGTCTTTATTGGTTTTTGTTTTTTGTTTTTTTTCTTTTCTGTTAGAGGCTTCCAATCCATTATGTGCTCTCAGAGGACAGTAAGCTATAAAGGCTAGCACCGGAACCAGGCAGAAATTCATCTCAGAAAGGAAATACAGTTTGCTCTTTCAACCTCTCCTCTCTTGTGTTTGAAAGTAAAGGGTGTGCAATACATGTGTATCCTCCCAAAAGAGATGGGGCCTGGAAGGCCCAGCCAATTCATGGCCTCAAGGACTGGGACAGGAAAAGGCTTTAAGGCTGGCTCATCAGCTCCCAGCTGCACTGTGCACTGTTCTCTGGGTTTGCATAAACTCAGCATATAAAATTCTTAGGCTATTTTTTAATTTTTTGTATTACAAAAGCATTGCAGTATAAAAAAAATAACAATATGAAAATGGCGGTTTTCAAGTATTTTACCTAAATACAATGAGACTCTAGCAGAGTTTTATATGACAAAGACTTCTGTTTGGTAGGCAGATCTATTTGCTGTATTTTTAAGTTCTACAAAGAAAAAAGAGCTATATCATAGCCTTTATTGTACCACTTGTTGTTACTATTATTGTAACATTTATAACAACCAAAAGTATCCTTACAACCTTTCATATCAAAGAGTACAGGAAAAACTAAATGCAGTGTTTGCTTACTATATCCCTCCACTATTGTTTCAGAATTTCAAACATTCAATCTTCATATTTAAAATAAGAGACTGTTATACTACTCTGTCACTCCCAAATAAAAGTTCCAACTTAAAGCATAAAACCATAATTCTGTTAACATGTATCACTTTAAAGTCTAAAGAAAAATTCTTATAAAGTCAACCAAGAGAAGCGATTCTCTGCTTTGGCATTGAACAAAGAAACTGCTATGGACTTATTAGCAACACTGCTAAAAGCAGCACTTTGATACCACGGCTCCATAAATATTTAACAGAGATGGACACTCCCACAGGAGCCTGAAGAACAAGTATAACATCAAAAAAGAGTGAATACAGAACGAGGTGGGTAGATGAAGGCACAAATGCAATTTTGTTGCAGTTGCACCAGCTGCCCAATTATGATTGATTTTTTCATGGGCATCACCATATTAGTGAGTTTGAAGAAGGACAATTTTAATGGCTTCATAGGATTTCAGAAATAGCTCCTTCCTAGAAATAGGGCCAAGCTGCTTGCTTGAAATTTGTAACAAATACTGTATGAGAGGGATTAGACAGCTATTTTTGAAACCCC